GGCAAATTTTATTTTTCCAGGAAGCTGCCATTTATTAATTTCCTAATTCATTGGCTTAAAATTGTTCATAATATTCCTTTATTTTTAAAATTGCTGCTGTATCTGCTATGTTCCATTTTTTCATTATTTCAATATTATTTGTCTTTTTCTTTTTTTTCTTAATATAATTTGCCAAAGGATTTAAATTTTACTTGTTAATTTCACAGATTTAGAGTTTAGTGTGTGGATCTTCTTTTTTTCCTTCTCTTTATTGATTCCTGCATTTTCCCCTTCAAATTTCCCTAGGTTTACCCTGTTGCTCCATTAGTAACTTTTTAAAAAAAGATTTCATTTATTTATCTGAGAGAGATAGAGAAAATGTGAGTGTGGAGAGGCGCAGAGGAAGGACAAGCAGACTCTGCCCTGAGTGCAGAGCCTGAGGTGGGGCTCAATCCCACAACCCTGAGTTCATGAGTCGAGCTGGAATCAAGAGTTGGATGCCTAACCAACTGCGCTACCCAGCTAACTACTTCATTAGATGTTGAAATACTCATTTTCTATCTTCTCTAATATAAACATTTACGTTTACATACTTTTCCTTTAGGTACCGTGAAAACTCTATGCCACAAATTTTGATATATGTTGCCATGATCATTCAGTTTTAAATACTTTCCACTTTCCCTTAGTGCCTACCAACTTCCCTTTGCCCCTCCAAACCTACTCTCTTCCTTCCTTCTCTACCCTGTTCTCTGGCCCACAGGCTGCCTATATGGACATCAGTGGGCTGCTGTGCCCTCTGTCCCCAGTGGGGATTCGTGGCAGGAGATAAAATAAGAGGAGAACAAGGTCAGAATATTTCTTTCCCTGGTCTCTTCTTTGAGATTGGCTCGGCTTGATTACATCCCTTGAGAGGTCATGCTTGGGAAAAGGTGGCCTGCTCTACAAATATGATTCGCTGTCCTTTCGGATTCTGGTAAGACCTCTCTTATCCCTTCGGACCTACAGGTTGTGACTATTCTGCTGTTGCCGGTCCCAGATCCTCCACTGGCCCTTGATTCCCACATATCCCACCTACCCTATACCTTTAAAATGTGTTTTTATAAATCATTTGAATGACATCTGTTGTCTGTTGGTACTCTGGAGGAGACACCATTTTTATTTTGTCTTTGGTCCAAGAGTTATTTAGAAGTTTGTTTTTCACTTTCCAGGTATATGAGCTTCTTTTTAAGTTATTGTTTTAAAATAATTTCTAATTTAACCCATATGTATTCAGAAAACATGTTCTATGTTATAATGGTTATTTGACATTTGTTGAGACTTGTGGTCAATTTTTATTTTATTCCACATATACTTGAATAGAATAAGTATTTTCTGTATCTTTACTACTTTTGCCTGAGAGAAGAGGGTTATATAATTGCATATGTCAAATTTCTTCTTTAAACATTAATTTTTTTATACAGCCTTGAGACAATATTATTGGGTACATACAGGTTTGGAATTATTTTATGTTTCTGGTTATTTGTTCTTTTTGCCATTATATAGTGACTCTCTTTATCTCTGATGATATATTTTGCTTTAAAATTTATCTTGTCTGAAATTAATACAGCTACTCCAGCTTTCATTTTCTTAATACTACCTCTGTATATCGTTTTTACTTTCTCCTTCAATCTTTATCCTTACATTTTTGTTATGTCTTGTGTCAACAGTTGAATTTTTAAAAGCTGTCTAATATAGTTATCTGTTTTTTAAACAAAAGAAATATTGTCATTTATAATCAAAGTATAGTACATTTGTCTAGGATTCAAGGAATTGGGATTCTAGGCTCTACCCTACTGTTTTGTAACCTTAAACAACTCTCTCAAATTCTGAATCTCAGAAGAGTCATGATAAAATGCTAATGTTGAATCAGATTATGTTGACTATCTCTTCTAGCTCATTTACTGTCATTCCATTAAAGTACAGTAACATGTTACAGATTGTTTTAAAACTAGACCTAAAATTAAAAACAAATCCTAGTGTAATTTGGTGAGATAATTCAAATAGTAACTGATGTTTAGCTTTGGGATATTTACCCTTTATTATTAAAAATTTTTAATTTTTCAGAGTGCCTGGGTGACTTAGTTGAGCATCTGCCTTGGGTCATGGTCCTGGGGTCCTGGGATCGAGCTCCACGTCAGGCTCCCTGCTTAGCAGGGAGCCTGTTTCTCCCTCTCCTCCCTGCTTGTGCTCTCTCTCATTATCTCTGTTTCTTTCTCTCAAATAAATATTCTTAAAATTTTTAAAGTTTTTAATTATTCAAAATATAATATTTTTGCAGTTTCTTTTCTGAGGATAGTCTATTAAAAATATTTTCTATGATTTGAAGAATGTATTTAAATATACTTTCTTGGGGCACCTGGGTGGCTCAGTCATTAAGTGTCTGCCTTCGGTTCAGGTCATGATCCCAGGGTCCTGGGATTGAGACCCCTGTCGGACTCCCTGCTCAGCTTTTCCCCTCCATCTGCCTCCACCCCTCCCCACCCCGGGTCATTCTCTCTCTCACTCTCTCAAATAAATAAATAAAATGTTTTTTTTAAAAAGAAAAAATTTAAAGAAAAAAATGAAGGTTCATTTATTTGGATGGGGGGAAGAAAGTGCAGGGAGGAGGAGCAGCGGGAGACGGAGAGTCTTTTTTTTTTTTTTTAAGATTTTATTTATTTATTTGTCAGAGAGAGCACAAGCAGAGGGAGGAGCAGGCAGAGCAGGCAGAGAGGTAGGCTCCCCTCCGAGCAGGGAGCCCCATGCAGGACTCAATCCCAGGACCCTGGGATTATGCCCTGAGCCAAAGGCAGACACCCAGCTGACTGAGCCACCCAGGTGTCCAAAGGAGACAGAGAGAGTCTGAAGCTGACTCCATGGTAAGCATGGTTTACCGGCTCCATTTCCTGAGCCTGAGATCACGACCTGAGCTGAAATCAAGAGTCAGATGCTTAACTGACTCACAGCCACCCAGGCACCCCATGGAGTGTGCCACTCTTGATCCCGGAGTTGTGAGTTCAAGTCCCACATTGGGTATAGAGATAACTGAAAAAAAAAAAAAAAACTTTAATAAAACAGTAAGTAAGGGCAACCCTGGCAGGACCCCTCTCACTCCTGAGAGCTTTTCCTGTACCCTCACTTAATAAAACTCTTATCACTTTACTCACTCTCAAAAAAAAAAAATTAAAAAGTAATGAAGAGGTCACACTAGTTTCTTGCCCTTGTTTTCCTCTGCTTTTTTGTACTTCTGTGCCAGTATGAGCCAAACAGCTTCCCAAATCTATGACTAGTCCTTAGGAGTCCCCAACACACCCAGAGAATTGCTGCAACCTAGAGGTGCTAGGACAAATCTTTGTCATTTAGTTGACAATACTCTTGATCAGGAGTCCTTTTTCTGATATCGTATCAATCATATCTTCAATCATAAGATATCAGTCATATCTTTCTGAAGCTATTACCTTATAGTTATCTTGACTTGACTTGGTTATTTCTTAATTCACCCCAGCTGCACATTTACACACTCTGAGGATGGGCTAGTTCTCCAGATGACTCCTCTCATGTTTTACTGGGCCATTTTCTTATGTAGATGCAAAATATATGTGGTTGGGAGGTTAGAACCTAAATTAAGTCTCCTTAATTTTATTCTCATAAATAAAGGGAGGGACCATCAATTTTGAGTGCACCCCTATAATTGTTTTAAAAATATAAGTAATGGGGGCGCCTGGGTGGCTCAGTGGGTTAAGCCTCTGCCTTCCGCTCAGGTCATGATCTCAGGGTCCTGGAATCGAGTCCCGCATCGGGCTCTCTGCTCAGCGGAGAGCCTGCTTCCTCCTCTATCTCTCTCTCTGCCCGCCTCTCTGCCTACTTGTGATCTCTCTCTGTGAAATAAATAAAATCTTTTTAAAAAATGTTACTAATGTACTAATATTATCTTTGTTTACAAATAAAAGATGGGGCAACTGGATGGCTCTGTGGGTTGAGCCTCCCATTCTTGATTTCAGCTCTCAGGTCATGACCTCAGGGTCATGAGATCCAGCCACACTCTCTCAGCTCTCAGCGAGTTTGCCTGCCCCTCTCCTTCTGCCCTCCCCCAACTCACCTGCAAACGCTCTCTCTAAAATAAATAAATAAAATCTTTTTAAAAATAAAGGATAAAAAACACTCAAAGTCCCCCTTTTCCATCCCCTTTATTGCTTCCCTCTCTAGAGGTCATCAGTATCCTTTTGAGTACAACTTTCCAGTGCCTGCTCTCTCTCTCTATATATATATGCATACATATATATATATATATATATACACACTGTATATACAAAAACACTTTTTATTTTTACCTAAATGACACCTCCTCGTTTTATAGGTGAGGAAACGAAGTGAGACCTTGAAGGGAGACATGGGTTGACAAATTTATTGAAGGAAAGTGGACTGGACAATCATTTATTTAAATCTGCTATATGTCAGACTCTGCACCCAGGGCTTTATTGGCACGAAGTGTTCTGGTATTTTACTTTTGTTGGGTGGGTCGTCGCACTAGGTTAGCTAGGTAATTAGTTTAGGGGTTGGGGAGCAGGTGCGAAAGACGCTTCAGTGCGATGAGTGTAGGATTTGTATTTTGATAGGAGCTGCAGAAAACCTAGCAGAGGACCATGGAGCTGCAAAAAAAAAGAAGGAAAAACTGTCATCGGCAGTTGGGTCTGTCAATAAAACTTGTGAAGTTGAAACGCAAAGAACCTACTACCTGCCGAGCCCGAAGTTTATTGCGGAAACCAGGAACAGATACCGCGCCTGTGAGACTGGCCTTGGAGCTTGAATAGGAAGGAACCAGAGGTTGTAAAGGATGCTGCCGGGAGGCAGCAACCGGGCAGCCAACCAACCGGGAAAGCAGAGAGCGCTCCCGGACCGGTCTAGAAGTGCGCCTGCGCCTATCGCCTCGAGGGAGGCGGGGCGAGAGGGGCGGAGCTTGGGGGCAGTCAATGAGCATGCGCAAACCGCGCGGCGAGGTGGGGGAGGGCGGTCCGTGTGTGTCTGTGTTGTTGTTCGGCGGCAGCGGCGGCGGCGGTAAGATGGCTGCCCACGGGGGCTCCGCGGCGTCCTCGGCGCTGAAGGGGTTAATTCAGCAGTTCACCGCCATCACCGGTAAGAGACGCGGTTACCGGAAGGTGGAGAGTGGGGTCTGGAGCGGACGGCCGTTCCGCCCCGGGCTTCCCCTTACCTTCATGCATTTCTCCCTCGGGCTTTACCCACAGCTCCCGTCCTCCCTTCTGAGGAAGAGGCGACGACGGCGTCGGGTCTCCGGGTTCAGGCGGGAGACAGCCCCCCCGCGCTCCCCAGACCTCGTTCTCGGCCTCCTCACAGTGTGGAGGGAGACAACCCCACTACCTCCAACGCCCCCCTTGTCAGTCGAGACCCGGGGAATCGGCCGATCTCATCCGCCCCCGCCGGCCCGGGGACCTGGGGGCGGGAGAGGTGGGGGGCCGCACCCGGGCCACCGCCCTCCTCCTCCTTCATCACCTTCTCTTCTCTGTGCAGCTCTGGGGTGCAGTGCATCTCTCACCTCCTTTTTCCATTCTTCCTTGGCCAGGTCATTCTCCCCCAGTCCCTGGCCTGCCCTTCCCCTTTCTGGGCCCCTCAGAGCCATCGCCGTGGCCCTGGCGTGCTCGGGCCCTCCCGCCTTAACGGCGAGACTGGTGGGTTCGGCAGTGCCTTTACCGATCCTGGGGGATAGGCCGCTAGAAGGGGGGTTGCTGAGGAGTACCTTTAAGACAGAGGTTTTAAAAGAAGAATGAGGGGGACCCCCCCAACCTTAATAGGGAAGGCCTGGAGGAATCCTGGGTGGCGTTTCCCACCTCCCCATAATAAAATCATAAAGACTGGGACGATGGCGCCGGAGCCTCCTGCTGATTAAATAGGGATGGCGGCAGAAACTTCTTTGAGAGAAAGTCAGTTTTTGGGTGTCAGCATCCCCCAAATCCTCGGTTATTCTTTCCCTTTGGACCCCTGAAAAGGGCACACGGAGATCCTCTTACCGCCTGGAGGAAAGGCCCTAAGCCATTCTATGAATTCTCTATGCCTTGTTTCTCTCTGATGGTGCTGAACTTTTTTTGCATGAGTTATTAGAGGGCGGAGCAAATGATGAAGTTCTCTGTGGAGTGATTTGAGAGAAGAGTACTCCATGTGCCTGAGTGTAATTTTGCCGTTCTAGTTTGTCATTTTGGAAGGAGGTTAGAATGTTAGTTCCCTCTCTGAGTAGATCTATACTTAATCTCGTTATTTTTTAGGTGCAGAGAATGTTTCTACTGTTAATGTACCTAGAGTTTGACATGTAAGATCTGATTAAGTAAAATTTTACATTGTTCTAACCAGACAGTTGTATGCGCGTTGATGTTTTATAATTTAAAGCTAGTTTTATCTTTTGCTCTGCAATGACAACTAGACGTTTGATGCCTTATCTAGCTGCTGGGCATGAAACATAACGTCAAAATTGGCAAAGTAAAATTGCAGTAAAATTGGGATGAGGAATGGAATGATCAACTTTTCTTAATATATTAAAATTTTTGTGATTGGACTGTTAAGGATGTAATGCATTTCCCAGTGTCTAAGCAGATTGCTGTTATTGGGAAAATTAGAAAATTATTTTGTATATAAGTTAATATTGGCAGCATTACCTTTTTATAGAAAAATCTTTGTAGTGAATCACATATAGAAGGAATTATTATTAATCTTTAGATTTTTCTAGAGTTGGTTTAAGATGTCACCTATTTAATTTCAGTTTTTTATGTTAATTACCTCCACTTCAGGATCTCAGACCGTTTTTATGTTAACGACCACCCCTTCAGAAACTCAGAACCTCACATTATTTTTTCTAACTCAGCGTTTTTGTTAGATATGGACAAAACCCAAAGTGTGAGATAAAACGTCTCACTTGCTTTAAATTCTGTTTCTGTCTGCTAACTTACATGGCTTGTTTCCTGGCCACAGGCCTTTTTGTTCCTGAATCAGGTTGGAGACCCTTAGTAGACAATGGTATCTGGAAGTCTGCAAAAGGGAAAATACCTTAGATGGTTCTTAATGTATTATGAATTTCTACTAATAATTCTGGGGATTCTGGGGCTCCTGGCAGGCTCAGTCAGAAGAGCATGCGACCCTTGAGCTCAGGGTCATGAGTTCGAGTCCCATATTGGGTGTAGAGATTACTTAAATAAAAAAAAACTTTAAAAAAATAATAAATTCGGAGATTTTTTTTTTTTAAGATTTTTATTTATTTATTTGACAGAGAGAGAACACAAGTAGGCAGAGAGGCAGGCAGAGAGAGAGGAAGGGAAGCAGGCTCCCTGCTGAGCAGAGAGCCCAACGCGGGGCTGGATCCCAAGACCCCGGGATCATGACCTGAGCCTAAGGCAGAGGCTTAACCCACTGAGCCACCCAGGCGCCCCCGGAGATTTTTTTTTAACAAGATAGTGATTGTTAGAAACACATGATTAACTCCTTTAGTGTTTTTCACATATTTTAAAAAAGAAAGTTTGGGGTTCTGTCCACATGTTTTAAATTGTAGTTTTTATGATAAAAGGGCATTTGATATTTATTCATTGTTGAATGAATTAAATTGACCTTAAGAGCTTTTGCTGTAATTTCAAAAAGATTTTACTTATCTGGAAGCTCAACATTATGGTGAAAGCAATGCATTTTAAAAAATGTGAGCCTTACCTTTTCTGTGGCATTTAAAAATAGAACAGAAAACTGAAAGAATTTTAAGTCTTATTTCTCATTAAATAGAACAGATCTCTCTATATGATGTGTGAGTATTAAGTAATGATGGATTTTTTTTCTTATTTTTACTTGAGTATAGTTAACACAATATTGTATTAGCTTTAGGTGTAATGACTGATTTTTTTAAATTTTATTTTTATCTATATAAAGATTTTTATTTTTTGAGAGAGCGCATACATGTACAAACACGAGCAGGGAGGAGGGTCAGAGGGAGAGGGAGAATCAGACTCCCCAGGGCAGGGCTCCATCCCAGGACCCTGAGATATGAGTGGAGCCAAAGCAGACACTTAATGGACTGAGCCACCCAGGCGCCCCTATTTTTATTTATTATTTTTAAGTAGGCTCCATGCCCAATGTGGGGCTTGAACTTGCAACCCTAAGATTAAAAGTCATATGCTCTACTGACTGAGCCAGCCAGGCACCCTGACTCTGATTAAAAAAAAAACTTAAATCACACACGCACAAAAATCATAACATGAAATGATTTTGAAAAAAGTAAAAACTAATCTTTCATAACAGCAATATTTTTTTTAAAAGATTTTATTTATTTGACAGAGAGAGCATAAGCAGGGGGAGTGACAGGCAGAAGGAGAGGGAGAAGCAGAATCCCAAGCAGGATGCCGGCTCCATCCCAGGACCCCGGATCATGACCTGAGCTGAAGGCAGAAGCCCACCTAACTGAACCACCCAGGCGCCCCTCACAACAGCAATATTATTTATTTTACATATTATCTTCCAGTCCTTGTTTGCATACTTTTATTTTTATTTTTTAAAGATTTTATTTATTTGTCAGAGAGAGATTGAACACAAGCGGGGGGAGTAGCAGGCAGAGGGAGAAGCAGGCTCCTTGCTGAGTAAGGAGCCTGGTGTGGGACTCAATCCTGGACCCTGGGATTGTGACCTGAGCCGAAGGCAGACGCTTAACCCATTGAACCACTGAGATGTCCATACTTACTTTTATTTTTATTATTATTTTTTCTTATTTTTACATTGTGGATCATAGTATACATAATTTAGAATTCAAAGATTTTCAGTTAATATTACATCATAAATATTTTTTCTGTGATCAAACTCTGATAAGCAAGTAGCCAAGAGAAGTTAGTCTTTGTAATATTCAGATTGAGAAACTGTATACCTTTATGATTGATATTAGAGTCATTTGAAGTTGTATAGAAAACCAGTCCTGTTACTTTATAGTCTACTATATTTTATGGTATTACTCAGTTTGATCTCCCTTGATATTCATCGTACTTGGGTTTGAATGACTGTTGACTGCTTTCAAAAGCCCTATCAGATTTTTTTTTTAAAGATTTTATTTATTTATTTGTCAGAGAGAGAGAGTGCACGCAAGCAGGGGAGCAACAGGCAGAGCAGGCAAAGGGAGAAGCAGCCTCCCCACTGAGCCTGATGTGGAGTACCAATAAATTCAGCATTGATAGACTATTGTGTACCTGGTATGGTTCAGGTCCTGGGAATACTACTATGGGCAAGACGAGGTGTCTGTTAAGACAAGGTGCTTTAACCAAAAAGCATAAAGGTTAATGGGAATACAGACATTGTATTATAATACCTACTTATAGGTATTATAATACAATCAGAGAATGGTGGGTAGCTATTATGGGGGCACAAAAGATGGAGGTAAAGAAAGGTTTCCCAAAAGAAATAATTTCTTAGCTAAAACTTAAAGGAGATGGCTAATGAACTTAAATAAAAGAAAGAAAAAAGAGGAGAGGTGTTTCTGACAGAAGGAACGTGTACAAAGGTCTGGAGTAGAGAGGGACAGATATACACACATATAGAGAAAAGAAAGAAGAGACAGTAGATTTGGGGAGTTGATGATCATTCCGAATGAATAGGGCATAGCGATGCAGTAAATTAAGCTGAAGATATAAGTGGGTGGGTGCCAGATTAGGAAGGGCTTTGTAACCCATGTTAAATCTTGGCTTTATTCTGAGTGTAGTGTGGAGTCAATGAAAAATTTAATTGGGGGAGTAACATAACCAGATTTAGATTTTTTAGAAAGAGCTGCTTAGCTATAGTGGAAAACAGGTAGGTATCAAGATCAGAAGGCGGGGCGCCTGGGTGGCTCAGTGGGTTAAAGCCTCTGCCTTCAGCTCGGGTCATGATCCCAGCGTCCTGAGATTGAGCCCCGCATCGGGCTCTCTGCTTGGCGGGGAGCCTGCTTCCCCCTTTCTCTGTCTCTGCCTGCCTCTCTGCCCACTTGTGATCTGTCTGTCAAATAAATAAAATCTTTAAAAAAAAGATCTACTGATCTTTTTTTCTTTTTTTTAAAGATTTTATTTATTTATTTGTCAGAGAGAGAAAGTGTGAACACAGGCAGGCAGAGGCAGAGGGAGAAGCAGGCTTCC